TGTAGTCCTATTACCTATTAATTATATAGGATCCAAAAACAGATGAACAAGGCAAATATTTTATCCTCTATAGTACAGTATTTCTCACTTCGCTTCCCTCAGCACGTCACAGGTCAAACACTTTAACCCAGGTTTTTTGCTTCTTTGAGTGTTCTCGTTCTGATTATTCTCCCTCATCTCGAGTAAATCAGTAGCATCTATCTAGCTGAAGATTCCATTTGAAAGTTTAGACGTCAAAAAAGTGGAAAGAAAAGTCGGCAAATTCCGCCATTATCAAAACATAAGAAAACTTAGCGAAGACGTTTGATGGCAGTGAGAACAGCTGCAACCTGATTGGCCAATACTCGGTTCTTTTATTTATCTTGACATTTCATTGGCTGATGGAAAGTATCCAGATTTTTCTCAAATTGGACAGTTTGTTCAAAGCTAAATAAACGTTCGAGCAAAAACTATCCAATTTATTTTAAATTTGGACAGTTTGCAAAAATTAATTAGAAAAAAAAAAGGTCTGTTGGCAACACTGGATTTCGATGGAGCTATATAATTAGGAAGGAAAGTGTTGCATCCAACAGGAACTCTGTCAATATCAAACATTTCTACACACGTGGATTGGTAAATTATTCTAACAAGCACTTCGATTCCTGCGTTAGTTGTGTGTGTCTTCAAGTGATACGCGCTTGGCTAACCGACAAAACCGTTGCGTGCGTAATTTTCGATATCTGGGTAAAGAAGATGAATGGGTTCTTAGAAAATCTACCACTGTCTAATGAAAGTGAAGCCGAATGTAATCCTTTCACCACGAAAGATCCCATCTCTACAAAGGCTATCAAGGCAGCATGTTATATTGTGATCATGTTGCTTTCACTTCTTGGAAACGCGGCGGTTATCGCTGTTGTTGCGAAAAACAGGCACATGCGAACCACAACAAACTACTTAATCGCAAACATGGCCGTGTCAGATCTACTGCTTTCTACATTTGCAGTACCGCGAGAAATTGCTGAAGTCTTTATCGGTCACCGCAGATGGTTGATCGATGGTCTGGCTGGTGCAGTCCTTTGCAAAGTTTTTTACTCCCTCCAAGACATTTCCACTGCAGTCTCGATACAAAGCATCGTTGTTATCACATTGGATAGGTACAATGGAGTTGTTTCGCCCTTTCGTCGTCCTATCATAACTCCGAAACGACGCAAAGTTGTTATTGCACTGATATGGTTGATATCCATGGCTCTACACGGTATTTATTTTTACACGGTACGCCATGAACAAGTAAAAGGAATCAGTTTTTGCTTCTTCGACAATCCACGAGCAGTGAAGATCAACTTTATTATGACATCAGTTGTTTTGATCGCCATCCCTTTAATAATAATAACCGTTTTGTACTCACTCATATTTAGAGCTCTGAAAAAACAGAAACCCTTTGGAAAAGGATGTGCATCTTCACTCATGAAAAGCCGGCAGAGAGAGAACGCTAAAATCACGTGGAAAATTCTAGCAATTATAGTTTTATTCG